AAAGAGTTGATCCCAGAGTGGGTGCTTGTCAGTTCTGCTCTGAATAATTTTGTATTTAAGATCATATTTAAAGATGTAACTTATCATTTTCATTTTGAATTGAATTTGATTTATAAAAGGAATCTGTGTTCTTTTTTTTCTTAATCCAATGTGTAACATACTTCTAATATTTTTATAAGCAATTGGCTGCCTTAGGAGAAAAAAGCCAATTCTGACTTCAAGTTGACTTCACTGCAAGGATAGAGTTTTGTTAGAACCTTCTTGGCTATGGGGAATATCTGTCTAGAAGGTAATAATCAAAGTTGGGAACAATGATGCCAGCTGGCATAAATGGTTTTCAGCTACTGTTCTAGTGAGTAAGAACAAAGAGGTGGAAAGGAAAATTCACCTCGATCATCATTGGGTAGAGCTAGAAATCCCAGAGCTTATATATCTTCTGTCTTGAAGTTATTACCTCCATGGCTCAGCTACGAAGGAAATAAGTGAACGTTCCTGAATATATTATGGTATGAAGACAATCAGGTGGTTTTTTTTTCTTATTCCTGAAGTTTAAACATACACATCAGCAAGTATAAAAGTGTTTAAACACATTGTATTGATAGTAAAAGTGAAGTGCTGCATGTTTAATATCCTACTTCAGTATGGATGAACTATGGGCTGTGTGTTTCTGAGGTTCATGTCACTTTATTTACTGTGAATGGGCTTCATAATAGTGAAGATAATATTGTAATTCTCTGATGTTGATTTTAACATCCTTTGTTGAAGTCCTGCGTTTTGCATGCAGGCAGACTGTTGGCTGTTTCTGCTGTGAGAATGGTCTCCCATTACAGTCTTCACCAAAAATCTATTGCAGTGTTTTGTGCTTGAGACCAAACTGTTCTCTTCTGTGAGGAAAAGCACCAGCAACAATTTCAAAAGGAAAATTTGAATTTTCTGAGGCCTAGCCTCTTCTGTGGGTTAAAGAAGTCTTGCTCTTCCATAGCTCCTGGGGTGAGCATCTTCTGATCATCCCTCACTATGTGAGTTACTACTTTGAGAATGTGAATTCAGCTCCTGCACATTGACTGATATCTTTGAGGTTGTTCATGCCTGCATGGGCACAGGGGAAGCAGCACCAGCAGTAGATCTTGGCTTTGCTCACAGGGATTTTTAAAATGTGCCTGTGAACTCATCTAAGAACTGTCATAATTATAAACCTAAATTTGTTGCTAACTGAAAACAGATTTTTTGTTCACTGAGTAGAAATCTCATGGTGAATATTTTGAAATATTCTGCATAATTGAGTTTGCAGAATTCCTCCCCGCCCCCTCCCCAATTTCCTGTTCACTCCTCTAGAAAGACTTTTAAACTTCATGAGTTTTGGGAGGGTTTATTAAAACCAAAAGCAGTTTCTGAGAATGGTTTGGGTGAACTTAGTTAACAAGTAACGAATGACATTTTCTGCTCAAAAGAAAGCCAAACAGAGATTAGGACACAAGTGATTACAGTAAAAAAACTTAGCTTGCTATGGTAAATATTAAAAACAAATCAAAATTTATACATAATTACTTTTGCTATGTAATACAAGTAATTTAAAGGTAAGATTTATCTTGCAGATGAAAAGGATAGGAGCAAAATAGCTATGTCACTAGAAGATGATCCCACAACAGCATCCTATCTCATGCCATTAGGAAGAAGCGAACCATAACGAAAAAAGAGCAGTAAATTCCCTCAACAAAGCATAGGATTTAAACTAAATTTTGCAAGGGGTTGTGCGAAAGAGGACCACCAGGCACAGCTCAGTGGATAATGTCATGTAACTGTGACATGTTGCCTCTATAGATCAGGAACTAGCATCACTCTTGTGCTGTCTTCACCCCTGTAGTGGGTGGCCTCATTCTTTGACTCTTCTGACTCCTCATTCTTGCTTGTAGCTTGCAATTATCTCTGACTGGCAGTCTTTCCCAGTCTTCTCTTCTGTTAGCCTTTTCCTTCAACCCTGACTCCGTTTCAAGTGGACTAGGGCAGTAGCTGCCACCAGCAGAAACTTGCTTCAATGCCACCAGCAGTGAATTAAATCTTTGTAAGAGTCCAAGCAGAGGAGAAAGCAGAAAGAGAAAGTATCTGGATTCTGTATGTTTGCTTGTAAAGTATCATCAAAATCTTTGCTGTTTCAGTTTAGGACTTTTAAAAATTGAGTTAATTTAATATTACGGTTACTGTTTTTTCAGAAAGCACACGCACACAGAAAGAAACTAGCCGGTGTGCACAGTACAGGCCCAAGATGATTTTTTAAAATTTTATTTTTATTTTTTAAAATCAAGTGCTTCTCTGTTAAATGATTTGCAGTTAACGATGGGATTGTTTTCCTTCTTGTACTTCAGACATCTCACTAAGGTATTACTTCAGCAACTTGGCTGAGACCATTTAATACATATGGTATTATTCAGCGTTGTTTATTGTTACATTTTTGAAGGACGCAGTTTTAAAAACACTGTGTCCACTGCTTTCTTATATATGAAGAAAACATCGTTTCAGACAGAGAGCTGTGTGAGAAGAAAATTGGCCTGTTTGTATTTTTCGTCTTCTTTTTACTTTCCCAGATACTGTAGTTTTACTTATTTATATTGGCCTAACTTGTGATATCCAAACATCTTCCTTACATGTTTAAATAAGGGTTTTTTTATGAGAGTCTATTAAGTATTTATATTTTTCTGTTTTATGGCCACACATAGCATCTGATACCACAGGATTTATCATTTTGTGCAATTATTAATAAGAAGAAAATGGATTTTTTTTTTTTTTGTTCTTTAGTAGTAGAGACTGAAAACTTGACAGTGAGGAAAGATGAAACAATTATTTTTTTAAATTTCATAGTCTTAAGTGTAATACTAAAATATCCATTCTGAATTAGTATAAAGCAGACAACTTATTGGCTAATTTTGCATCCTCAATCCTTCAAAAAAAGATTGTTTGTGAAGTGCTGTATTAATCAAGAAAAAAGTGAAAGAAAAATGTCAATAATCAGAGTTTTCAGATTGAAATTTAATTACTGCTTGTTTGAGAGGAATGATGCCTGAAACCATAATCATAGTCTGGTAGTCTGTCTCTTTACTCTCTGCTATAGAGGGATATTTTGGGTCAAGGCCAATAAAAGCTGTTCCTGTGTAATACAAACATTATCTCAACATTGTAATGAGAAATAGGAAAACTCCCTTTCTAAGAACTGCTCAAACCGATTTGAAGTGGCAATGGGAAAATTTGGAGGTGGGAAGTGAACGAGTGGCTGGGTGGGAGCTTAGATGCTGACTGGGGTCAACCCACCACAGATGGGAAATAAAGTTGTCAGTTCATGTTAAAAAGACTAGACCATAATTTGGACATGAAATATTTGAAGTGCTTTAGATAACGGGGCAAAAGAACTAACACTAATGCCACAGCATGCCCTACGTTTTTATTTTATTTACCAAGGAGATACCTGACTGTATGTTGTATTGTACTTTCCAGCCAAAATGTGGCTGGAAAAAATGGCGTTTTATAGTGTATGCGATAAATTAGTTTACTTAAGAAATATGAATTTGACCAAGTAGAAGTCACCTAATGATATAATCAGGAAAGAAAACTGCGCCAAAAAAAAATAAATATCACTTTTACTTTAGCAAAAGTCCACAAATTATAGTATGTCTGTGTGCTGGCGAAATAAGGAGCTGTGTGCACAGTGAAGCTGGCAATTGTGCAAATCATTTTTGGTGATTGCAAGGGAATGAGATATATCTATCGGTGGTAGCACTTGTTTCATTAGAAAAAGCCTGCAAAGTGCTGCTGTCTGCACTGGGGAGAACAAGCTTGAGACAAGCAAAGTTTGAAAGCAGTAAAACACTTCTCTACAGGAAAATGTGAACTGAGCCTTCAGTAAGAAGGCAATGGGCACGGTTGCCGGGTAGTCTTTCTCCACCTTCCCCAAACTGTAATTGGTTCCCTGTAGATGATAAAAAAATAAGCAAATTCATGAGAAACCTCAATATGCAAATTAGGTTTTGTCTGAACACATGCAAGAGGTCACACGAGTACAGATACAGGGCTTTGAAAGGACACTTAATGAAACAAAATAGATTACAGGAGAAATGTCATTCCCTGCAGGGCCAACAGAAGTCCATCACAATCTTCCTTCCTTTGTACTGCAAGGAAGAACTGGTATCTTGGAAGAAGATGCCAAAAATAATATTTTTCGGTATTGCTGTATTAGTATGCCGAAGTCTTAATAGTAACTTTTTGGCCTCCTTACTCAACTGAAATGAGTTTGGGCTGCTGTATGACTCTGAGAAACGTACATAGGATACCAGATTGTCAGCCGTGACACTAATGCTGTGATTCAGATATCAGTGTCGTGATGTGTTGAATTGAGAAACCTCTTCTGCTAGAAACATTAAGTACTCTTGGACCCCAAAACTAAGCTGAAAACTCTTGTCTCCTTAATGTTTGTTCTGCTGCTTTCAGAATGTTGCTGCCAGTCTCTCTGACAGTTACTCAGCAGAGAGAAGCTTTTCAAGGCTGAAACTGTTAAAGATATGTTTTTGTTCATCATTTTGTTCAGAATGTCCCAGGAACACCTGTCAGGAGTAGCCATGGTAGAGAGCACGCAAGAACAGATTGCTGGATCCCAGGCTGATAATTGACTTCTTTGTAGTATTGGGTTTTTTTTAATGTTTTTAAATCTCCTGGAATAGTGAAATTAGTTTTCCATATTATGCAGATTTTTTCTACCGT